GTGGGAGGGACCCCCGCTGGACAGGGCACGGACTGAGCCCGTGGGAGGGACCCCCGCTGGACAGGGCACGGACTGAGCCCGTGGGAGGGACCCCATGCCGGAGCAGGGCAAGGATTCCTGTCCCTGAGGGGGAAGCAGCGGCACGAACTGACCGGGACTCCCATCCCTTCTCTCTGCCCCGCTGGGCACAGCAGGGACGGAGCCGGAGATAAAGTGAAATCCAGCAAGGAGAAAGAGGTCGGCAGAAGGGTTATTTTTCAGGGTTTATTTTACTCCTCACTCTCCTGTTCTCATTCGCTGAGTCCCAAATTCAGTTCATTTCCCCACGTCGGGGCTCTTGTGCCCGTGATGGCGATCCCTGAGTGACCTCTCCCCACCCTTGTCGCGACCCCCGACGATTTGGATTTGTTTCAATTCCGTGCAATTCATGGTGATTTTGGGGCAGCTGGAGCAAAGCAGCTGGAAAGCACAGAGGGCTTGATTGGGAGTAAAGCAGGGCAGGACTTGGGTCTGCCCGAGAGAGCTCTCACAACGCAAACATTCTTGGGGTGTTTCTACGGGAATTATTTTTTTTTTTTAAGTTTTATATTCATCGTTACAAAGAGGAGTCACAAATGGAGCTGAGCTTTCAGCTTGAAGGAATCAAACGTGTGCACTGGGAGTTCTGCAACCTCAAATATTTATTTTCGTAAATATTCAGCCCCTCAGCAGCAATGTCTCTCCCAGTCCACTGGTTTCTGCCTCAGACCCAGCTCGGGGCTTGCTGAAGAAATCCAAAGTCACCACAGAATAAGGCTGGCGTCTTTTTTTTTCATTTTATTTCAGAGTTGTTTTATGCCACTTTATTGTATATTGTGTTTTAATTTTGTTTTTGCCTTGATTCATTTTTTTTCTTTTTCATTCTGTTAAATATTGTTTTGTCTCTCCCCCCTCCCCCCTCTCCCATCATTTGTTCCCCTCCCGAGGTTTTTGGTGAGGTGCTGTCCCACCTGTTCTCACCTGGAAACCAATGAAATCTATTGAAATAGTGAGGATTTTTGGAACTCTTTCCGCTGCTGTTTCCAGAAGGTCCCAGAGGACCCGGGGGCAGGGAGGGGGTCCCGGTACCGGGGGCAGTCACCGGTCACTGGGAGGGTCCCGGTGGCGCAGGTTGGGACACACGAGAGTGACCGAGGGAGCGCGGGGGGAAGAGGGGGTNTTTATTCTTTATTTTATTTTATTTTTCTTGTATTAAGTCGTGGGGTTTATTCTCTCCCTGCCCCCAGCCTTTGTTCCCCTCATGGAGGTTCGTGGTGAGGTGCTGTCCCACCGCTTCTCACCTGCAAACCAATGAAATCAATTGAAATAATGATGATTTTTGGAGCTCTTTCCGCTGCTGTTTCCAGAAGGTCCCAGAGGACCCGGGGGTGGGCATGGGGGTCCCGGTGCCAGGACAGTCACCGGTCACTGGGAGGGTCCCGGTGGCGCAGGCTGGGACACACGAGAGTGACCGAGGGAGCGCGGGGGGAAGAGGGGGTGCAGGGGATTATTGGTGCAGGGTGAGGGGGCTCAGGGGGGCTTGGGGCAGGGATGGAGGTGCAGGGGGGTCTCCGTGCTCGGGAGTTGGGGGTTCAGTTTTGGATATGCGGGTGCGAGGAGGTTCCAGTGCCGGGGAACGAGGGGAGGAGGGGTCCCGGCGTGGGAGTCCCCGGCTCGAAAACTGAGTTTTAGGGTGGTCCCGGGTCTCAGAAATGCTTGTTTGGGGCATTTTCTTGAACGGACAATGTGGGTTAAGGAAGTCCTCTTCCCGGGAATGGGCATTTCGGGAGGGTCCCGATGTCCAAAAATGAACGTTCAGAGGGGTTCTTAAGCCCAGGAATGGGGGTTCAGGGAGGTCCTGGTGCCAGAGAAGGGGAAACAGGGACTCCCAGTGCTGGGTAGAGGGATACAGGGGGTCACAGTACCCAGGAATGGTGCTTGAAAGGGTTTCCTGTGCCCGAGAATGGAGATTCAGGGAGATCCTGGTGCCAGATAAGCGGGTACAGGGGGATCTCGGTGCTGACTGCAGCTGGCAGCAGCCGGGAGCGGCTGTTCCGTGCTGGAACAAAGTGGGAAACACGGAACAGGCAGGGAACACGGAACGGCCAAGGGACACGGAATGTCCCAGGAACATCGAACATCCAAGGAACAGGGAATCTCTCTCCCTGAGGGTCAGGGAATGTCCGAAGAAAACGGAATGTCCAAGGGAAATACAGAAGGTCCAAGGAACGCTGAGCATCACTGCCACGGCTTTAAAGCTCGAAGTTTTTATCCTGTAAAAGATGGAGTTTTTAATCCCGTGATGCTCCCGAGCAGCAGC